ATTGGCATTTAGGTTAATTCTATGTTTTTGTTACTGTGAATAGTGCTGAAATGAACGTATGCCTTCATATATCTTATAATACAATGATTTATATTCCTTTGGGTACATACTCAGTAACGGAATTGCTGGGTCAAATGGTATTTCTGCCTCTAGCTCTTTGAGGAATCGCCACACTGTCTCCCACAGTGGTTAAACTAATTTATACTCCCACAAAGGGTGTAAAAGTGTTCCTTTTTCTCCGAAACCTCGCCAGCATCTGCAGTTGTTTTTTTTTCTCACTTTTTAATAATTGCCCTTCTGAGTGGCATGAGATGATACCTCACTTGGTTTTGATTTGCATTTCTCTAGTGATCAGTGATATTGAGGTTTTCTTTCATGTTTGTTGGCTGCATGTATGTCTTGAGAAGCATCTGTTCACGTTCTTTGACCCCTTTTTAGTAGGGCTGTTTAAAACAAAGCTTTTTTTTTTTTTTTTTGCTACAGAGTCTCACTCCATCGCCAGGCTGGAGTGCAGTGGTGTGATGTTGGTTCACTGCAACTGCTGACTCCCTGGTTCAAGTGATTCTCCTGCTTCAGCCTCCCAAGTAGCTGGGATTACAGGCACACGACACCATGCCCAGCTAATTTTTGTATTTTTAGTAGAGAAGGGGTTTCACCATGTTGATCAGGATGGTCTCCATCTTCTGACCTCATGATCTACCTGCCTTGGCCTCCCTATGTGCTGGGATTACAGGTGTGAGCCACTGCGTATGGTTAAAGCCTTAACCATTCTTAAGGCTTTCTTAGGGTAACATGTTGCAAACGTTGGCTCGTTCCCAAACATAAATAAGCCTTCTCAAACCGATTATAATCTAGCCCTCACCAGGTTAATTAGGCTTGCCTGCTAACAGATTCCCATCAGAGAAGAGCCAAAGCTAAAGCTCGGGGGGCCCGAAACTGTGAGTAAACACAGGAAGTCAGCAAGGAGAGGGCAGAAAACGTAGCCCATGAAAGGAAGGAGACAAACCTCAGGGGGAAAATTTCCCAATGCTCGTAGGTCGTACTTCTTTAATCTCACAGAGCCCACCAAAGAAATTATAAGAAAAGTAGAAGGAAATGTGATCGTGATCACCATTGTGCCCATCCTGGAGTCTGGACCAGCCAGCCAGATTTCCACAGGAGGTCTCTGACCTGCAGAGGGGAAAGGATGATGAGAGGCAGGTGCATCAAGAGCCTGTTCTGGAGCCACCAGGGGCCCAGGACCACCCTGTAATCTCCTGACAGAAGCAGGCTCTTCAATGCCTGAAATGGATGTCAGCAGATCTCATGTGATTCAGAAGTGAGTCATTGACTGAGTGATTGTCAGTATCGATTCTCCACTGGGTCCCAAACCGGCAACTTCTGGAGATATTTTTGGTTGTTACAACTAGGAGAGGGGCATTTCCTACTGGCATCTAGTGGGTAGAGGCCAGAGATGCTGCTAACCATCCTGCAATGCACTGGGCAGCCCCACCACAAAGAATTATCTAGCTCCAAATGTCAGTAGCGTCAAGGTTGAGAAACCGTGTGTCAGTGGCAGGAGAAAGGGTAGAGAGAATTTCCAAAGTGGTAGGATCAGTAAAGGATAGACCCTGAAGTTTAAAGTTCTTCCAGGGAGACTGCTACCCAGTTTGGGAAACTCCATGCTATATCACTAGCTGCGGCCTGATGCCAAGTTACAGGTAACAGGTGCCAGCAGAAGCTCTGACCAGCTAAACTGAAGCAGACAGTCCTTGTGAAACTGCACGGAGTCAAAGATAACGAAGGGAGAAACTGAGGCTAATCAGTTTGACCTCATTCCCTCCTCCTCCCACAATCAGGGGAGTTTGTGACTGGATTTCCTACAAGTGGCAAAGGAATAAGTAGGCTTAGGTGAGAGGAGAAAGGGGCAAAATTGAGGTGAGCAGTGGAGCAACAGATTAATGGCAGCAGATTTATTTATTTATTTATTTACTTTTGAGACGGGATTTGGCTCTTGTTGCCCAGGCTGCAGTGCAATGGCATGATCTTGGCTCACTGCAACCTCCGCCTCCCGGGTTTAAGCGATTCTCCTGCTTCAGTCTCTTGAGTACCTGGGAATTACAGGCACACACTACTCCTCCTGGCTAATTTTGTATTGTTCGTAGAGACTGGGTTTCTCCATGTTGGTCAGGCTGGTCTCAAACTCCCAACCTCAGGTGATCACCCCTCCTCAGCCTTCCAAAGTGCTGGGATTACAGGTGTGGGCCACCGTGCCCAGCCTAGCAGATTTATTTTTATTTATTTATTTATTTTTTTCTTAAGACAGAGTCTCACTCTGTCGTCCAGGCTGGAGTACAGTGGTGCACCCACGGCTCCCTGTACCTTTGAACTCCTGGGCTCTAGTAATCCTCCCACTTCAGCCTTCCCAACTACTGGGCCACCACCGTACAGGCATGTGCCACCACATGGGCTAACTTTTAAATTTTTGTAGAGATGGATTGGGGGTGGGGGTGGGAGTGGACTTCTCACTTTTGCTCAGGCTGGTCGTGACCTTCTGGGCTCAGGCAACTCTCCTGCCTCAGCCTCCCAAAGTGCTGGGATGACAGTTGTGAGCCACCACACGCAATCCAACGGTAGCAGGTTTAAACACAGGTGGATTTGGAAAAAATCTTATGATCGGTTCAAGATGAGACAGCAGGCCTGTTGAAACTAAACAGTGCTTTGTTAAGCTTGTTTTTGGTTGGTCAAGTACAGAAAGGCAAGCATCTCTGCTAAAGGGTATGCAGAGCAGGAATCCTAAGCAATCATCAATCTGAGCACTCGAAGACAAAAAGCAGATGCTGCTTCCACGCACTGCCCTTTAAAATATACGCTTTTTAAATGTCTTCTTTTCATTTTAATATTTTTGCTGTCTCAGCAGAATCAAATATATGTAATTATTCTGATGGAGGCTTGCATTCTCTGGGACCTAGGCCAGAGAAATCATGGTCAGTAAATTTCCCTGCAACAAAGGGCTGGGGAGCAAGCGCCAAAGAGGGAATGTTCTGGAAAACTCCTTAGGCAGGGCCAAGTTGAAGACGCCTTTGAGGTTTTTGGATACAGCACTTTTATGGGATTCGTATTGGTGGTCCAAGACGACTTGAGTCTACTTTGTAATTATGGATTTTTTTTTTTTTTTTTTTTTTTGAGACGGAGTTTGCTCTTGTTGCCCAGGCTTCAGTGCAATGGTGCAACTTTGGCTCATTGCAACCTCTGCCTCCTGGGTTCAAGAGATTCTCTTGCGTCAGCCTCCTGAGTATCTGGGACTACAGATGCACGCCACCGTGCCATGCTAACTTTCGTGTTTTTAATAGAGTCAGGTTTTCACCATTTTGGCTGGGACGGTCTCAATCTCCTTACCTAATGATCCACCTGCCTTGGCCTCCCAAAGTTCTCAGATTACAGGCATGAGCCACTGCACCTGGCCAGCATTTGGTTTTAATTAGATTGATTCACAGAGAACAAAACCTAGGAATCACATCATTGATTCATTTGTTCATTTAATAAATTTGTAGGTTGAAGTATTTTACCAAGTGATGGCAACAGAAAGAAGCCCCAGGTGTGGTTTGTCAGTTTCGTCGGGACTACACAGATGAGTAAATAACTGTAATGCAGTGACGGGATCTCAATGGCCAGGAAACCGCTGGTCCTCCTCTCTTCCTGTGCCTTCTTATGTAGTTAGCTAGTTTCTTTTTTTTTTTTTTTCTTTTTAATGCAGATTCTGGACCCATTGCAGACCTACTAGAGGAAATTCTCTAAAGGTGAGGCAGTTTTTAAAAGACAGGATCTCTCTCTGTCTCCCGTGCTGGAGTGCAGTGGCCCGATCATAGCTCACTGCAGCCTCGACTTCTTGGGCTCAAGCGATCTCCGACCTCAGCCTCACTGAGTAGCTGGGACTGCATACATGTGCCACCATGCGTAGCAAATTATTTAATTTTTTTTTTTTTTTTTTTTTTTTTTTTTTTTTTTTGAGACGGAGTTTCACTCTTGTTACCCAGGCTAGAGTGCAATGGCGATCTCGGCTCACTGCAACCTCCGCCTCCTGGGTTCAGGCAATTCTGCTGCCTCAGCCTCCTGAGTAGCTGGGATTACAGGCGCGCGCCACCATGCCCAGCTAATTTTTTGTATTTTTAGTAGAGACGGGGTTTCACCATGTTGACCAGGATGGTCTCGATCTCTTGACCTCGTGATCCACCCGCCTCGGCCTCCCAAAGTGCTGAGATTACAGGCTTGAGCCACCGCGCCCGGTCTAATTTTTTTATTTTGGTAGAGATAGGGGGGTCTTGCTGTGTTGCCTAGGCTGTTCTCAAACTCCTGGCCTGAAGCGATCCTCCTGCCTCAGCCTCCTAATGTGTTTGAATTACAGGCGTGAGCCACTGAGCCCGTCCGCTCCCCTTTCTGAGTTGTGCCCACTACACAAAGGTGTCAGGAACGTGAGATGTTTCTGCATTCTGGCCTGGACCCCACATTAAGCGCTCTATTAACGTCAGTCTCTTATCAACAGCACTGTGTTTTGGCTGGAAGAAACTTCTTTAAAACCAGGAAATCAGGAATCAGCATTTTTAAGTTCACCAGGTTAGGTAACATTGTGTTCACATGCAAAACAAAGTTTGTGAATCAGCATCAATGCTAGCAAGCTCTGGAAGGTTTGTGATCCGTGAACTTGCATGAGGCCCCAAGGCAAGGAGAGGCAGAAGCCCAGGACACCCGCTTTCCAACCAGGCGCCGCCTGGACTACATTTCCCAGGATGCCCAACTGCCGGGCTCTTGCGGCATTGGCTAGAACAACGCGGAAGTGATTACGGGTCGCCCAGCAACGGGCGGAGTCCTGGCCCGAAACTAGATGCGCACGCCCCTTCCCTGCGGCGGGGAGGTTGACGGGGCTCCGTTCCATGTCGGAGCCTTCTCCGGCTTTGCTGTCCAGCCCGGCGGCAGCGCGACCTCTTAGGCGCTTTCACCGCCTTGCTCTCCAGGCCCAGCCCCTTTGACGCCGGCAGCCGCGATACTCTGGAAACTGGAGTTTCGCTTCGTGGTGGGTGGAGTGGTCCCCGGAGGGCGCAGTGCGCAGGCGTGAGCGGTCGAGCCCCGACGCGCGCGGCGCTCGTTCGGAGTCGGAGTGAGTTCCTGGGCTGCCGGACCCCGCAGCGTGCGAGCTGGTCAGGTGCCTCCTCCGACTGCCATGGCCGCGCTGCGCTACGCGGGCCTGGATGACACGGACAGTGAGGACGAGCTGCCCCCGGGTTGGGAGGAGAGAACCACCAAGGACGGCTGGGTTTACTACGCCAAGTAAGGGGGCCGCGGCGGGGCCGGGGACGCACCTGGGACCCCGCACTGCCCTCGGACACCACCTGCGAGGGCAGGGCGCGCGCTCCGGCGCGGCGAGTGCGGTGCAGAGTGGAAGTGACTGTTAAGGAGCTTCGGGGAAAGGGTCCGGGGTCCCCGGGAGGGGCCGGCCCCCTCGGTGGGCCTTGGGTCCGGTGGGGGTCACCTGGCGGCGCCCCGGCGTGCCCTCTGCTGTTCAGGAGGCAGCACTGCGCGGCGCGGCGAGGGCAAAGTGGCCTCATCACCGCCAAAAAAATAAAGATGTTTAAAGTGCACGTCCTCAGCTTTCTTCTTCAGGCTCTGGGTTGCACGGCTAGGAGTTTTGTTTTGTTTTCTCCAGACGGGTATCGCCGTGGCACCCAGGCTGGAGTGCAGTGGTGCCATCACGGCCCACTGCGGCATCGGTTCAGGCAATCCTCTCATCTCAGCCTCCTGAGTGGCTGGGACTACAGGCGTGCACCATGCCCAACTAATTAAAAATTTTTTTTGGGTAGAGACTAGGGTCGCACCTTCTCGCCCAGGCTGGTCTCGAACTCCTGAGCTCAAGCAATTCGCCTGCCTCAGCCTCCAGAATTGTTGAGCTTGCAGAGGGAGCGCGGCACCCAGCCAGGAGTGTTTTTTTTTTTTAGCAGAAATCCTACATAGTTTCACTATCATTTCCTGGGAAAGTTTTGGAAACCCCAGCAGAGACTTCGTCTTTAACAGTGTGACCTTGGGCCATTGAAAGAACGTTTCATCTCAATTTTCTCACCTGTAAAATGGGTTGACATGAGGATCAGTTCAGGCATTGTGCATAAAGCCCATAGCACCGTATCCAGTAGGCACTCTCTGTTGCTTAACTGTCTTTCCTGATTGCTCTTCAGCTATGACAGTGCCTCTTAATAGCGGCACCTTAGAGTCCCCTGGGGAACGTCCTGAATACACGTTTCGGGTCTCCATAGAGAACCTATAGTAGCAGACTCTCAGCTTTGGGAGAATGTCTGTTAAGCTTTTCAGGTAAGGTGGAATATCACTTGGTTTTCAGAAACATGGATGTAAATCTGATTTTCAGCATCTGGGCCCCCCTTCCAGAGGGTTTTTTTTTTTTTTTTCCTTTTTTCTGAGGCAGAGTCTTGCTCGGTCTCCCAGACTGGAGTACAGTGGTGCGATCTCGGCTCACTGCAACCTCTGCATGCTGAGTTCGAGTGATTCTTGTGTCTCAGCCTCCCAAGTAGCTACGATGACAGGCAGCTGCCACCAAGCTTGGTTAATTTTTGTATTTTTAGTAGAGACGGGGTTTCACCATGTTGGCCAGGCTGGTGTCAAACCCCTGGTCTCAAGTGATCCGCCCACCTCGGCCTCCCAAAGTGTTGAGATTACAGGTGTGAGCCACTACTCCGGCCCTGAATTTCTGATTTAATTGGTTTGTGCCCTCCCCTCTCCCTTGGTAGGTTGTAAAACTCTTCCCTTCCAGGTCATTCTAATCTGTGCAAGGATGTGAACCACTGCTGCCTTTGGTGGCAAGGTAGGAGAAAAACAGTAAAGCTCTGATGAGTTCACTGACGACACACAAAGGCCATGCCGGGCCTTTTGCTGGCACTGGTTATACCAAGGCAAGTAAGAGCCAGTTGTCAGCCTTGGCACCCAATCTTATAGGGCACGGTGACATGTAGGGGAGTCCCCACCCAGTGTGTGCCCCAGGAAGCAATGTGTCTGGCATGAGGTGTGTGTGGGTAGTTGGTGGGAACGTTAGGAAGTTTAGTGACACAGTCACAGTAACCTTGACTTCCTGGGCTCAAGCGATCCTCCTGCCTCAGCCTCTTGAGTCCCCAGGACCACAGGTGTATGCCACCACGCCCAGCTAATTATTACCGTTTTGTAGAGATGGAGTCTCACCATGTTGCGGAGGCTGGTTTGAACTCGTGAACTCAAAGCCTTCCTCCCAAAGCTGTGGAATCACAGGCATGAGGCCCGGCACCAAGCCTGGAGCAGTGTTTTGAGTACAGGTGGAAGTTGGGGGGGGCAGGAGGGCAGTCCAGGTAGAGGGAGCAGGGAGAGGAGAGAGACCCCCAGCATGGCCTGTCAGGGACCTGTGATTTTTTTTTTTTTTTTTTTTTTTTTGAGATGAAGTTTAGCTCTATCGCCAGACTGGCATGATCTTGACTCACTACAACGTCCACTTTTAAGCGATTCATTTGCCTCAGCCTCCTGACTAGCTGGAACCACAGGCATGCACCACCATGCCCAGCTATTTTTTGTATTTTAGTAGAGACGGTTTCACCATGTTGGCCAGAATGGTCTCGATCTCTTGACCTCATGATCTCCCCACCTCAGCCTCCCAAAGTGCTGGGATTACAGGCGTGAGCCGCCGCCCCCAGCGGGACTTGTGATCCTTGTGAGGTCCAGGAATCTGAAGGTTGAGGCAGGGAAGGAAGGACCCAGTTTCTCGGGTACTGTGCCTTGCTGAGAAGCTTGGCCTTTGTTGACAGAGCCAGAGTGGCATTAGGCTTGTGACTGCAGGAAGGATTTCTGGCTCTGGAGAATGAAAGGGACATTTCCAGCAACAGAACCATTAACCGCTGCAGGGGTCGAGGCAGGCTCCTGAGCGGCCACTTGCTGTCCCTCTCGCCTGTCCATCTGTGGGGCAAGGGCTCCTTTTCATCATTCAGAGGTAAGCTTAAGTGTCACTGCGCAGGAGACCTTCCTGACTGTGGCTATCCCCTGTACCTTTTACCTGTCACCTGATTTCTCTGCTGCTTTGCGCTTAGCCTTGGCTTCTCCTTGTTGTTGGCTCTGTCTCCCTCGCCCAGATTGCAAACTCCTTGAGGGTAGCTTGTCCACCTGCGTGTCCCCCGTGCTTAGCACTGGAAGCTGTAAGATGAACCCACACGGGATGAGTAAATCATCATCTAGAGAAGGTCAGCCGCGGGCTTCTGTGGGCGGGTGGCGTGCTGGGCCCAGAGCACAAGGATGCACATGACCTGCTTCTGGCTTCCTGAGCCCACCTCTGCCTCCGGCTCTGTGGCGTGTCTCTTCCTTTGTCACTCAGACCCAGAGGCGTGTCTCCTTCCCTGCAGGCTCGTCCTGGAGCCTGGCACTAGGGCCGTGGGGCTCCCTTGCTCCCACGCGCCCTGCGTGCCCCCGTGCCTGCTGTCATGCTGCGTGGCCTTTCTCCCATCTTCATGAGTGGCCCATGGCCAGGGGACTTGGCACCTACATGGTCTCCAAAAGCCCTTCCTCCAGCCGCCCGACCAGTGTCTTACGTCTCCAGCCGGCCCCTCTGGCTCCACTGTTGGTTTGTTTTTATCATTTAAAATTCTGGGATCCACGTGCAGGACGTGCAGGTTTGCTCCATAGGGTAAACGTGTGCCATGGTGGCGTATGCGCGTCTCAGCCCATCACTCAGGTATCAGCCCCACGTGCATTAGCTCTGGTGTTTAGACCACCTGAGATGCCAGGGCTTGGTTGGCTCCCAGCTGGAGGGCTCATCTCTCTGAACCTTCTGCCCATGGCCGCCGGCCCTCAGTTCTCAGGGTGTCAGGGCTGAAAAGCTGAAGTTCTTTGGGTGCCAGGATGCCCCTGATTCATCCGAACCCCGCATTCCCTTGATCTCTCCTCAGCTGTGAGCGTCCTGGCCCTTTTATTTTCTTGGTAAATGTTTGCACTGGCTCTAACCCCTTTTCATTTCTGACTCTGGAAGTGGTGCTTGTTTTTTTCTTGGGGTTTGGCAACCCTTGCGGGTGTGCTTTCTAGGGGCCACTCTTGGAGTCATTTCTCTTTCCATATGGTCTCCCCTGCTGTAGCAGGGCCACGCCCAGGGATAGAGGCTGGAGCTCCCACTGACACCTCGGGGTCTGGTGGAAGCCCTGTCTTGAGTGAGTGCCGTGGGCGTCTCCTGCTTGCCCCCGTGCTCATGGTACACTTGTAGGCCTCAAAGGCACACGTGTCTTAGGGCTCCAAAGCCCACCAGGCCAGGCTACCAGGGACAGGGTTGGGGAGACGGGCCCCCAAGAGAGCTGGTGGACCTTTCTTGTATCCCTCTCCCCTAAGAGTCTCTGCAGCCGCTTCATGGGAGATGGGGACTGAGGGATGAGGTCTCAGGGTCCCAGCCGTCCTTGTCTGCCCTCCCCTGTCCCCCTTTTCTTAGGAAGCTCAGGCCTTTTGGCATTCAGAGTCCTCAGTGGCTCCAGCATCCACAGAGCTGGCCATCCTCACTGTCAGCTCTGGTTCTCTGCTAACTTACACTGTGCTCAGAACACACACCCATACCCACCCACCCACCCACCCATAGACTGGGCATGGTGGGAGGCCAAGGTGGGAGGATCGCTTGAGTCCAGGAGTTCGAGGCTGCCGTGAGCTATGATTGAACCACTGTACTCTAGCCTGAGTCACATAACAAGACCCTGTCTAAAAAAAAAAGGAAAAGAAAACACCCCATATGTAAGTGTGGTATTCACGTAATATGGTGTCCATTTAATTTTGAATCCTTTGGTTTAAGTTTAGATTACTATTAATTATCGTTTTTAATGACAAGCTTATTGAAAGAATAAAACATAAAAGACAGCTTCTATTTAAAGGAGAATAGGATAACATTTAGCGGACATGTGTTCTAATTTTCTCTTCATTAAAAAGTCATTTAAGGTTATAATTAAAAAGAATACCTTTTAATTAATTTTTATATTTATTTAAAGTAAATCTTCTATTGAAATCCACCGTTCTTGGTTCTTCCCACGTTAATTCACTCGGTCCTCTGTAACCCCAAGAAGTAGGTACTGTTACTGTCCCCATCTTAACTGATTAGGAAACTGAGGCATAGGATAAAATGACTTATTCAAGGGCAGGGTGGCTGGCACATGGGAGACCCAGCAAACTTGGGCAGTCGGGCCCCAGAATCCTCACGACTAGATTACTCTCCCTGCTTCAGCTGGCTTCGGGTTCTTCCCCAGGGATGGTTATGTTCTGCAGAGGTTAGTTGGTAACGTCTGGAGACGCTTTCTGTGGCCACAACTGTGGGACTGGGGTATTGGCATCTGGTGGGCACAGGCCAGTGATGCCCACAACAGCCCCACAGCAAAGAATGATTCAGGCTGGGCATGGTGACTCATGCCTGTAATCCCAGCACTCTGGGAGGCCGAGGCAGGTGGATCACTTGAGGTCAGGAGTTCGAGACCTGCCTGGCCAACATGGTGAAACCCTGTCTCTACTAAAAATATGAAAATTAGCCGGGCGTGGTGGCGGGCACCTGTAATCCCAGCTACTTGGGAGGCTGAGGCAGGAGAATAACTTGAACCCTGGAGGCAGAGGTTGCAATGAGCTGAGATTGCACCACAGCACTCCAGCATGGGTGACAGAGCTGGATTCTGTCTCAAAAAACAAACAAACAATGATCCAGCTCCAAGTGTGACTAGCAGTGAGGATTAAGAAACCCTGGTTTAGGGCTGGGTGCAGTGGCTCACGCCTGTAATCCCAGCACCCAGTGCTTTGGGAGGCCAAGGTGGGTGGATCACAAGTTCAGGAGTTAAAGACCAGATTGGCCAATATGGTGAAACCCCGTCCGTACTAAAAATACAAAAATTATCCAGGCGTAGTGGCGGGCGCCTGTAGTCCCAGCTACTTGGGAGGCTGAGGCAGGAGAATCACTTGAACCTGGGAGGCGGGGGTTGCAGTGAGCCAAGATTGCACCACTGCACTCCAGCCTGGTAACAGAGCATGACTCCATGTCAGAAAAAAAGAAACTGTGGTCTAGGCATCTTCCGTAAAAGTCAAGAACATAGGTTGACAGAGTTTGTTTTGGTTTTTAAATGTCTTTCTGAATAGATAGAAAATGTTCTGAGTGAGTTTTGTAACTCCTTTGGAAAGCATTCGCTCTGTGTTTACATTTGTGTACCTGCTGTGGGCCAGGCATGAGGCTGGGTGTGTCAGGGCCCAGCCTCACCTCCTGAGGGCCAGGAGGCTCTTTCTGCACCAGCATGCCTTGCAATCAGGGCTCATCTTCCACTGTTAAGGGTCATTTCATGGATTTCTTTTTTTTTTTTTTTTTTTTTTTTGAGGCAGACTCTTGCTCTGTCACCCAGGCTGGATTAACCTCCACCTCCCAGGTTCAGGAAATTCTCATGCCTCAGCCACTCCAGTAGCTGGGATTACAGGCATGTGCCACCATATCTGTCTCATTTTTAGTAGAGATGGGATTTTGCCACATTGGCCAGAATGGTCTTGAATCCCTGAACTCAAGTGATCTGCCCACCTCAGCCTCCCAGAGTGTTGGGATTACAGATGTGAGCCACTGCACCTGGCCACTTCATGGATTCTTGAGGGCAGAGATTTTTGGGGCCAGGCTTCAAGCTTATTTGATGTGTACCTATGAGATGAAGACTACTTTTTTTTGAGACGACATCTTGCTGTTACCCCCTACTAGAGTGCAATGGCACGATCTTTGCTCACTGCAACCTCTGCCTCCCATGTTCAGGTGGTTCTCCTGCCTCAGCCTCCTAAGTAGCTGAGATTACAGGTGCCTGCCGCCACACCTGGCTAATTTTTGTATTTTTAGTAGAGACGGGGTTTCACCATTTTGGCCAGGCTGGTCTCGAACTCCTGACCTCAGGTGGTCTGCCCTCCTCAGCCTCTTAAAGTGCTCGGATTACAGGCTTGAGCCACCGTACCTGGCCAAGATGAAGATTACTTTTAATGTCAGGCAAGGAAAATGCAACTCCCATCTCTTAACTTTCTTGAAGGAGCATGAGACACAGCCCTGCAAGGGGCAGGAAGGTTTCTTGTTATTGCAAGCTTGGTTTATCTGATTGCTGTTCCCTTCCATTGTGAGGAGAAGCAGGAGTTGATATGCCAATATTCCCACTGTGCCAGCGGAGAGTGGGTTAGCCTTACCAGAGAGAGCTGCGTTTTTTGCAAGTGATACTGGGTGGTGGTTGATGTACAAAGTAGGAGTTTGTCTTTGCTGCTGTTATCTAAGCTGCTACAAGGATTTAATTGTTCTCCAGGCAGTGTCACAGGTGTCATGTGTCTCGCCTTTTCAGCAGCTCTGTGAGATGGCAGTAGTGCTGAGGCGACTCCCTGGGTACAGCTAGCATGGGACGTTCTGGTATTCTGCATCCTGAGCGAGGCATTCACTCCTGCACCATGACAGGGACCCAGCTGCCAAGACTTTGTCAAAACAGATCAGAATCCAGCAATTCATGAAAAGACCCTGCTTGCAAGTTGTCACTTTTTTTAGAAAATTCATGCTCTTTGTATTTCTTTCTTTTTTTTTTTTTTTTTTTTAAGACAGTCTCACTCTGTTGCCCAGGCTGGAGTGCAGTGGCATGATCTCGGCTCACTGCAGTCTCCGCCTCCTGGGTTCAAGCAATTCTCCTGCCTCAGCATTCGGAGTAGCTGGGATTACAAGCACGTGCCACCATGCCCAGCTGATTTTTATATTTTTAGTAGAGATGGGATTTCACCATGTTGGTCAGGATGGTCTCGATCTCTTGACCTCATGATCTGCCCACTTTGGCCTCCCCAAGCGCTAGGATTACAGACGTGAGCCACTGGGCCTGGTCTATTTATTTTCTTTAAAATAATTGATAGGGAAAGAATGTTCATGTTTTATCTAGATGCTGCTGATTAAGTAATACAACTTTCTGTTTTTGCATGAGTAGGTGAACTTTTAGGAAACCCAGCCTACCCTTCAGGTGCTTCTGGAGCACCTGGCTGTTTCCCTGATGAAATAATTGTATATTTTCCTGGATACCTTATTACCTGGTGACAGGTGTTTCTCGTTATTGGCCTACTTTTTTAATTACAACTTTGGGTGGTGGTCTGATATGAAATGTTAAGTTTGATACAATGATCAGGCTAGTTTGTGTAACTGATTTGTTCAAAATAATAGCTTACATTTCCCATAGCTTTTTGTATGCCAGGCGCTATGTGAAACACTGGATATACAATATTCTTACAACAGATCCCAAAATCAGTGCTAGGATCACTTCCATTTTGCAGAGGAGGGAATGGAGATGAAGGAGTTGGGTCACTTGACCACAGGTGCACAGCACACAGCTAGGTGACCTATGGGGCTGACTTACTGCGTTTCTTAAATACCTTTTGGGACTAATTAGGAACCAGTGCTTAATGCAACACTTTGAAGTTACATTTGCAGAAAGAATAAATGTTGGTTCCGTTATAAAGACACATGCACTCGTGTGTTCATTGCGGCACTGTTTACAATAGCAAAGACCTGGAACCAACCCAAATGCCCATCCATGAAAGACTAGACAAGGTAAATGTGGCACATATGCACCATGGAATACTATGCAGCTATAAAAAGCAATGAGTTCGTGTGCTCTGTAGGGACTTGAATCAATCTGGAAACCATCATTCTCAGCAAACTAACACAAGAACAGAAAATCAGACACCGCATGTTCTCACTCATAGGTGGGTGTTGAATGAGAATACATGGACACAGGGAGAGGAGCATCACACCCTGGGGTCTGTTGAGGGGGAATACGGGAGGGACAGCAGCGGGTAGGGAGGTTCGGAGGGACAACTTGGGGAGAAATGCCAGATATGGGTGACGGGGGGTGGAGGCAGCAAACCACATTGCCACGTATGTACATCTGCAACAATCCTGCATGTTCTGCACATGGACCCCAGAACCTAAAATAAAAAAGATATGTATTAAAAAATATGTATATATATATTATAAAAATAAAAACATATATATATATATATATATATATATATATATATATATATTTAAAAAAGAATAAAATTTCAGCTGGGCAAGGTAGCACATGCTTCTAGTCCCAGCCACTCAAGAGGGTGATGGTCCCGGAGTTCCATTCCAGCCTGGGCAACATAGTAAGACCCTGATTCTTTAAAAAGAAATACAAATAAGTAAGTAAGCATTTAAGAGATTATATAAACTAAGTATTAGAATTTTATCACTACATCCTGGAATAAAACTAAAACAAATACAAAGCAAAATGCCGCTCGATATTTTGAGTGATTCAGCCAGCTTCCTAAAGACCCCGTAGCTGGGATCACAGTCCTCTTTCTCCTCTTTCCCGTACTTCCTCCTTACACCTGGCTTCTAAAGGCAGGCTGCTGGGAGTTTCTACAGGACTGTCGCTGCTTCCAACCTGGGGAATTTGGCCTGATGCAAACAGTGACATTTGTATTCTGCACATTCCTTCTCTGAATGTCTGTTTTGACTATTCTTGAGAGAGAGTATTAGCTGGGAGAGTAAAATTTTAATACAATTGATTACTTTCTGGAAGAGTTAATTTTTACTTAATACTCTGGGTTTTTTTTTCTTAACAGTCACACCGAGGAGAAGACTCAGTGGGAACATCCAAAAACTGGAAAAAGAAAACGAGTGGCAGGAGGTTTGTATGTTGCTGTCAAAGGATATTGGATTAAAGCATTAAGTAGATGGGGAGAATGTCACAGGCAGAGAGGTGACAGGTTATTGTGTCTCTTTGGGAGGGCTCTCTGGTAGAGAAGCAGACTCTTACTCTGAGGAGCTTACCTGATTTGGCAGAAGATGATAATGACATCATAGCATAGACTGAGGATGGTTTCTTTTTTTTTTTTTTTTTTGAGACGGAGTTTCGCTCTTGTTACCCAGGCTGGAGTGCAATGGCGTGATCTCGGCTCACCGCAACCTCCGCCTCCTGGGTTCAGGCAATTCTCCTGCCTCAGCCTCCTGAGTAGCTGGGATTACAGGTACGCGCCACCATGCCCAGCTAATTTTTTGTATTTTTAGTAGAGACGGGGTTTTACCATGTTGACCAGGATGGTTTCGATCTCTTGACCTCGTGATCCACCTGCCTCAGCCTCCCAAAGTGCTGGGATTACAGGCTTGAGCCACCGCGCCCGGCGAGGATGGTTTCTTACTGGTGTTAAGATATCAAAATGGCCGGACACGGTGGCTCATGCCTGTAATCCCACCACATTGGGAGGCCGAGGCGGGCAGATCGCTTGAGGTCAGGGGTTCGAAACCAGCCTGGCCAACATGTTGAACCCTCATCTCTTCTGAGAATTTGAAAATTAGCCAGGCGTAGGGGTGCGTGCCTGTAATTCCGGCTACTTTGGAGGCTGAGGCATGAGAAGTGCATGAACCCAGGAGGTGGAGGTTGCAGTGAGCCAAGATCATGCCTCTGTACTCCTGCCTGGGTGACAGCGAGATGCAGCAGGCTCAAAAATAGCAACAACAACAAAAAACACGAAGTATCAAAATAACGGAGGCCTTTGATTCACAGTTTATGATGTTTTCCTATAGTTGCGGTTGCTTAGACATTGCTCTTGGCTATACCTTGGAAGTAAATATAGAAATATTTTGGGAATTTCGTAAAGATGATCATGACTTCTAGGTGATTCTGAGATAGGGTGTGATGCACAGAATAGAAGTTTAAGAAGGGGCAAGGCATGGTGGCTTGTGCCTATGATCCCAGGACTTTGGGCAGCAGAGGTGGGAGGATCATCCGCGCCCAGGAATTCGAGATGAGCCTGGACAACATAATGCGACCCCGTCTCAGAAAAAAAAAAGTATAAGAAGTTTTGAGCCCTTAATAGGTTTAGGGTCTAGTTGAAGAGTTAACCTGTGCACATGAAAAAAAAATGACACTGCCCTCTAATACCATACAAGGCATTACAGGTCAGTGCATGAATGAGGTTGGGTACCTGCTCTGCTTATAGATATGTTCTGTGAGCTCATTCAAGGGAGAATTCCCATTGATTGGCACAACCAGTAATGTTCATAGAGTGATGAGGAATAACACAGGTTTTCTTTAAAAGCGAGAGGCAAAAATGTGGAGCCCAGGTGGGATCAGGGGCCTTCTGCAGCTGCCACAATTGGAACATGTGACCAAATCCAGTTGAAGTGACAACTGGTGGGTGGGAGGGACAGGCTTGGGGAGGGGCCGGGGGAGATCCTCCCCTTCCTGAGCTGGAGACCATCCTCACTTCACCCCTGCACCTGCCGACCTGTCTGTCTTGTGTTTCAGATTTGCCATATGGATGGGAACAAGAAACTGATGAGAATGGACAAGTGTTTTTTGTTGAGTAAGTGTATTACAAAGAAACCGCTCTCAGCTGTTCTGCTTTTTAATAGGAATTTTTAATTATAAAAGAAATACAATAGCTGTAGAATAATACAAAGTATAATAGTATATACATGTAATCTTAGCAGAAGTAACTACTTTTTTTTTCTTTTGAGACAGGGTCTTGCTTTGTCGCCAAGCGCCAGGCTGGAGTGCAGTGGTGCAATCTCAGCTCACTGCAGTCTCCGCCTCCTGGGTTCAAACAATTCTCCTGCCTCAGCCTCCTGAGTAGCTGGGCTACAGGCATGCAACCACCACGCCCAGCTAATTTTTGTATTTTTTAGTAGAGACAGGGTTTCACCATGTTGGCCAGGATGGTCTTTATCTCTTGACCTTGTGATCCGCCTGCCTTGGCCTCCCAAAGTGCTGGGATTACAGGCGTGAGCCACTGCGCCCGGCCAGAAGTAACTACTTTTAGCAACTTTGGATTTATTATTCTATTTTCTATGTACATGCATCCTTGAAAGTCGGGAATGTACTGTGTAGACTGTTTAGCAACCTGCTTTTCCCACATACTGTATAGTGAGCATTTTGTCATATCCTTATCTGTTTTTAAACAGACGCTATTTAGCGGCTCTACAGTTATTTTGTATGATATACTGTAATTTATCAAATTGCCTATTGGACATTGATGATGTTAAATTCCTATTGAGAACCTCTAATTATAAATAGCATATTGAGCATCCTTATCTGTAAGACGTTTTCACCTCTCTGATTCTGTCTTTAGAATAAATTCCAGTATCTACCCAGGCTAGAGTACAGTGGAACAATCATGGCTCACTGCAGCTTCCCTCTCCTGGGCTCATGCGATCATCCTCCCAGCTCAGCCTCCCGATTAGCTGGGACTATAGGCGTGTGCTGTCACATCGAAATGTTGCTTGGTTTTTGTAGAGACCAGATCAAACTGTGTTGTCCAGGCTGGCCTTGAACTCCTGGGCTCAAGTGATCCTCTTGCCTTAGCCTCCCAAATTGCTGAGATTGCAGGTGTGAGCCACTGTGCCCAGCATCCAATATATTTTAATACTGTTTCCACAAGATTTAAATCAATTCCAAATCAAAACGAGAGTGCTTGTAGGAGGTATGAGTGCAGTCTTAAAGTGAAGATTGTTAGAATTTTATTAGTCGGCAATTTCTTACTTACAACGAAGGCTTTATCATTTTGAGTTTTCTACTTCTCTACGTCTTTAGGCCCTTGCGCAGGGCTAAGAGATTTAATTGAAATCTACTGAAAAGAGTGGCTGACAGATCTCATAGCTATGTTTACATGAACTAGATTAAGACCCAAAGCCTTCTCAAGAAGCCTTTTTTGAGATCTAAGGATACACGGCAATAGTTATGATATGTTACAGCATATTTTATAGGCAGTTTTGGAGGAAAGGGTTGGATGACTGTCTTTCTTGGCAGAAATGTAATCCTTCTGGAGGCCAGAAAGATTAAATGGTCCCCAGTTCTTTTCAGGTTTAAGAAATAATCGTTTTGGTACATGAAAAATGGGGTTTACCTAAACTGTAAGTGTATCTTATATTTATAAATGCCAGTGTTCATTGCTGTGGGTTCATTGCTTTCTCCTTTTCTGGGCAGCCATATAAATAAAAGGACCACCTACTTGGACCCAAGACTGGCGTTTACTGTGGATGATAATCCGACAAAGCCAACCACCCGGCAGAGATACGACGGCAGCACCACTGCCATGGAAATTCTCCAGGGCCGGGATTTCACCGGCAAAGTGGTCGTGGTCACTGGAGCCAATTCAGGAATAGGTAGGCAGTTAACTTATTTTATTTATTTATTTGTGGGACTGCTATAATGATCCCCACTTAAATCTAACTGTAACGGAATTTTGTATAGTGGTTCTCTGCTTTAAACATGAATCTTACCCTTTTCAGCTATCATTTCAGTAGAATCACCACCTTCTTTAAATCCTACTGTTGTCATGGAAGGCTCTGTAGGGGCTGACGTTGAAGTCTCTGAAAGCTGAACGCTCAGCAGAAGACTGCAGCTGTTTCGGTATTCAGGGAGACGCGACAGCAGGCTCCGTCTAGGAGCTTTTGACCTGGTCTGCATGGTATGCGGACATATCAATTACCTGGGTTATTCCAACCAAAATTGGTTGGTAATAGAATATGGAGAATAACAAGGTATCATGACTTGGGAACAAAGGATCCTACAGGTTTCGACTGGTCACTGAGCATATCATTTTCTTTTGGGCACAGGATCTTATTTCCTTATAAAATCGGAGAATGAGTTCCTGTCTTCACCTCTAAATTAACCCTCTTAATTGCCATTGTTTACCCACAGGGACCATCATGGGTAGATGGCTTGAGGGGGTGTCCTTGCTCCGATATGGTGGGCTGTTAAGGAAACAGGAGCAAGGCAGAAGTAGACCATAAATCTTCCTAGGATTTATTCTTATTTTGCTTTGGTCTATTGACATAAGCATCTGAATCAGTGAGAACCAGCCACTTGAGTCCATGTATGCATCTTTGGACTTGCTGACAGATAAAACATTGCATTGGGCTGTCTTCTGTCAAGTCCTCTCTGTCCTTAGGGTGTACATAAAGGTGTACATATTTATGGGGTTCATGAAATGTTTTGATACAGGCACGTCATGTGAAATAATCACATCCTCGTGAGTGCGGTATCCATCCATCCCCTCAAGAATTTATCCTTTGAGTTGTAAACAATTCAGTTATACTCTTTTGGTTATTTTAAAATGTACAATTAAATTATTGACTGTAGTCGCCTTGCTGTGCTATCAAATAGTAGGTCTTATTCTTTCCATTTTTTTTTTTGTACCCATTAACCATCTCCACTTCTTTCTTAATTTGGAACAATTCCTTGAAGAGACAGAAGTATCGTCTAGCGTGATTAGGGAAGCAGAGGAGGTAAAAATACATTATTCAGGGATCAGTTATTATCTTGTACGAGGTCTGGAATCTAACAGGCTGCAATCTCAGTGCAGAATTTTTGACTGTACTTGTCTATGAAGGTAAATAGGCAGATTGGAATGTTTTTTAAGAATCGAAAGGGATTTATTTAAAATCAAATCTCATACCTCATCCTGGGCTCGAAATATGTTCAATCCACTTGTCTGAACTTCTGCACTGGAGTAAGTTTTACGTCATTGTCATTGAAGTCAAAACTGATGGCGTAATAGTAAAAAGAATGGTGGGATCCCCCATCCAGGAAGCAATACATGGTGTTGATCATATTAACTACTGGTAGGTGAATGTGTGGAGCCATACAGTTGTGGAATTATTAAGAAAAAAGGATTTAAGGGCTTAAGAAATATTTTTAAAAATTTAACGAGTTAACCAGAAGATTAAAAGATCTTATACTCTTAATCTTCCAGCTAGACTGTTTTTCCCTAATGAGTAAGATATGTGACTGCTGATTTTTGTGTGTGTTAAGTGTTCAGACTGCTCCACCTGACACTAGACAGCAGACCCTTAAAGAGAGCTCATGCTCTTTGAAAGATTTGCAGCAGCAGACCCACAACATGCTAATCCAGGACTGATAGAATTGGTTCAGCGTCTGAAAAGGGTGATGTCTAGTGAGATATTGAAGTCGTGATGGAAAGGAGGAGATTCTGAAGCATTGAGAATAAATTTGTGGTTGTTGAGAATGGCCCTTGCATCTTGGAGTAAAGCCAAAAACTCTCTGTGCCTCTTTGCAGCTCCCACTTCCCCCTCTAAGACTCTTCCTTCCTGATACTCATCATTCATTTTGCGGACACTACAGGAGGTGTCTGCGATCCCATTGGAGCTCTTGGCAAATTGTAATGCTCAGGACGGCACAGATGTCACGCAAGGTCTTAGGGAGACCAGCCTTTCCCATTCAAGTGCCCACAGCTCTTTCCCCAGCGGTCACCTTCCTCAGAGATGGCCTTTCACACCGCCACCTCACCCCATTCCCCTCCACTCTTGGGAAGCATAAGTCTAGGTGAGTGCCGAAGATTATCTTTCTGAATTTTTGAAATAATATTGTACTGCAAATCCAGGCAATCAAAAACTCACAAATCAATTTCACTCTGCAGCAGTGGTATCAGGCCTGAAGAAAGGAGGAGGCTGAAGATAGGCACATGGCTTTGCTAAGTTAGCTTTTCTATCCTGAGTGGCTGCCTTAGAAAGTGTCCTTGCCCAGGTAGGCTGTGGCTTCCAGATAAAGTCCTTCTACTAAGCTGTGAAGCATGCCAATTTATAAATTGCTATCACTACTTTAGTTCTGCTCATTTCAAATGAAGTAGCTGAATGCCGAGTGAGTGAATTTGGGCATCTTTATTTCCAAGATTCCTGGGGCATTCGAGAGTCATCTTCTGTCGAAGCTTTTGTGCTGCTGGTGTTCCCTTTCCTTTGGCCACTCAAGACAGCCTATTTGCTTTGGATAAACTGTGAAGTCTTTAACCTTGTGAATGTCCATTTTCTCTAAGGCAGAGTGGGCGGAAACAAAACATAACTGATTTATTTTGAAAGTGGTGTCTCCACAAGTAAAAGCATAGATACCTAATTTGCCTTATAAAGGCCGATTTACAAATAGCATTTCCAATGGTTCTTTTTTTTTTTTTTTTAATGCCCCACAAGGCACTGCTTTGTTGGGATTGCCACTGGTGAGGATCTCACTGATACGAAAGGGGGCATCCCTCGACTGACATTCTTCAGGGTTCCACTAGTGTCATGCCCCCTTTGAAGTGGCCTCTTAAGCAAACTCCATCTTGTCATAATTTTCCTCTCCCTGGATGTTAGTGAAACGGAGCTGTGTTTTGAGTTTTTGATAATTGATTCTGCTAAGGCAACTGGAGAGATTCTCAATTCATCTAAAAAAATGAGTGATTCGGACAGATAAAAGGATTTGGAGGAAACGTCAGAATAAAGCACTGTGGGTTCCTGAAATCCTTGCTTTTACAGTTCAGGTTTATAGGCAGATATTACCACTGTCCACTGGATTCAGCTGTCTAGATTGGGGGTGAACACACTACGCTCTCTGGGCTAACTCTAACCCACTGCCTGATTTTGTAAGTAGAATTGTTTTTGGAACACAGCCACGCCCATTTATTCTCATTCCTGTAATGGGGAACTACTGTATGTGTGCATTCGGTTATTCCAAAATAACATGGCTGTTTGCATGTTACCAGAAAAGTTGCCCAATTTTGGGGGAGATCATATAGCTCGCAAAACTGTAAATATTTACTCTTTGGCCTTTTTCCAGAAATAAAAGTGCTGACTCCTGCATTAGATAATCCAGTTCATTCAAAGTGATATCACCCCAACATTCTCCAAATTAGCCGCAGCTTAGGTGAAATTTAGGCAAACGGGATGCCCCAGGCCACAGAAAGATGTGGCAATGCATTGTGTGTCATTGTTGCACCGGTGTCCTGTACCCCCTGTGCCCCTTGTCTCAACCCCCTCCCCCCCATTTTTTTTTAGGGAGCTGCAAGGATTAGAATGTTGCCTCCTCAGAAACTAACACTCTTCTCTCCTTGACCTTTGTTTAACCAGCTTTCTGAACCTGAAGAACTTTGTAGATTGAAAGCTGTAGCTTGTGGACCTTTCTCTGTGGAGATCAGCATCTCAGTATCCCGGGGGAAGTCATCTCTTCGCCCAAAGCTTCTGCTAGCAGACCAAGAGGCCCGGAACCCCGCAGTCCTGAATGCTACCCAGTAGAGACAAGGGAGGAATTCATTTCTGTTTGTGTTCAACGTAGACTGAGCAGGAAGGGCCAGGTGTTTTACGGCTCTTTGGAGTTAGCAGCTTGATGGCTCTGATTTGGTAAAAACGATCGGAAATGCCTTCAGCACGGTGTTCATTACGTGCAAGTGTTTCGAAGCGTTAGGAAAGGGAATTTTTTTTCTTTAGGCGAGGGAATTTCCCATTGAGGAAGATCCCTGCTTCGTTTTTAGACTCAGCCTATCAGTCAACTAATTTGGCTGTGCATGTAAATACTTGAGTATAAAATGCTGTCCCCTGCTACCTGCAGGCTGTCATGTTGCTCATCAAAGGCAGGATTCTTCTAATGAGGGATTAGCTGGATGCCTAAATGTGGGACCACCTACTCTGTTCACTGTCTTAATTAGCTAGATGTTTGTTAGAGCTCATGCAAATTATTTTCTGTAAGCAGACAGATTTAATATCATGTCTAAGGAGTGACATCCAGAGTTTTGTCAGACATCCATTAAAAAAATTTTTTTTTTTTAAATATTTGAGATGGGGGCCTCACGATGTTGCCGAGGGGTTGTTCTTGAACTCCTGGGCTCAAGTAATCCTCCCACCTCAGCCTCCCAAAGTACTGAGATTACTGGTGTGAGCCACCGTGCCCAGATGCTATTAACAAGTATGAACAAATGAGATGTTTTCAGTCTAATCTTCAGTGGTATGACAATAAAACTTCTTAACTTTCATTCCTAATCCAGTAGTGGCTAAAATTTGATTTTAAAAGTTTTTTCCAGAATTGGGTCCAGGTGAAAAGTTTCTTTCACCTTGTGAACCTTTAGAACGCTGGGCTGCATCATATGTTATGACTTTAAAGCTAGAATAACCTCATTTGGTTTCAGTTTTTGAGCCAAAGGACCCATTAACAGAAATAAAACTTTTCTTCCTGTGAACATATACAAGCTGGCCACATTGGTAAATACCAGTGAAATGTATTTTGGGACTGACACTTGAATTTTCTATTGGTATTTATGTCACAAAATCACCTCTCTAAGGTTTATTACATGGACACACACACACACACACATTTTTGTATCAAAATGTATATATTTTGA